AAATGTTCAAAGATAAAATAGTGTATAAGCAGATGCTTTCAGAAAAATGTGCTCAAATGGCATTTCTAAGAAAACATGGTACAGAATTTTTTTGTGAATTAACAGCTAAGGAATCAATAAAAGGTGTGGACCACACCGTGTGGTGTATTTAAAATACGAATATTTTGAATAAGAAGCGCACAATTAAAGTTTAGACTTGGTCAATTGGATTATAAAAGCTTCGAATTCGTTTGTGGTGAATAAAACGAATTGCTTTTCATTGTAAATAAAACAACCTGTTTTAAGGGGTGCTGTATGTAGTTGTAAGAATTCCTATTAAGGATTTCCTCAATATAATTTGCATATAGTATGTATGTACATACGTAAATGAATAAATATGTATTTATTCGTTCACATCTACCAAATAAATGAGATACATCACTGGTTATGTAACTGCTTTATGTCGATTCCTAATTCGGATAAACGTTTCTCGATTTCAGATGTGTCAAGACCATTTTCCTTGTTATATTTGTAGTTTACAGTAAGTTGTACTTCTTCTAGACCAGCTACTTGGTCAAAAAGATTACCTTCCAACCGCCTGTCAATATCATTTTCTTCTCGTAAAATGCAAAAATATAACAGAAATATGGCTAAACTTCCAGAAATGACGTAAGGTTGAAACCATAACGTGTCTTCGGAACCGCCGCTCCTTGTGTCACGAGCTCGCCAGTTGGCGGCTTGACTTCCAAAAAACTTTATGGGCTCATTCGAGTTTTCATTAGGCGAAGATTTCGGATTTCCTGACGCGTTTCTTTGTTGTACTTTAAGAAAATAAGTTTTTCTCTGCGCCAATAACCGTGATCTAAAAAATGCATACATATAGTAAATATATGGTTTTACTTTTATAGCACTTATTACATACAAAGGTTGAACGACAACACTATATTTTCCAAGCATATTTGCTACTTTCACTATAGGAATTTAATTAAAAGGCACTCAAAACGAATATGTAAATAACCATCCCTCAACTTTGTTTATTCTTGTAATCTCAGTATATCCAGTAAAAAAACTGTGGTGAAGTCCTTTATG